GTGGGCTCCTGCCCAGGTATGACTGCCTGATTAGCTCGACACTCACCCCCCCCCCCCCACTCTTTTAGGGGCGGAGATTTTTTTAAGGGTAGATGTGGAAATGCTTAATTGAAGTACACTTATATGCTCATAAGTGGCTGTTGTGTTTAAAATGAGTGTTTATGTAATTATTTTCAGTTTGCATATCCAATATAAGTTTTATTTGCTCAAGGTAGTCATATTTGTTCTTAACTTTATTATTAGTAAGCCTGAGAGTTACCAGATCTAAGCAAACAGTTACCGGAACGCACCCTGTCAAAATAAGAGATCCCAGATCCTGTTCCAGCAGGATCAGGCTCAAATTAAGCCCTGATTACTCTAACAGGATACTTAACCTGTGGAAAAAGATCAAGTTTTTTGTCACTGTGGAGTCACTCCTATTTGAGAGGTGAGATGTTGGACAATAAACTCTAGGCACTTCTGAAGTTATTGTTTTACCTTCATATGACATTCAAAAGTTGCACTGAATTAAAAACTGAAAAGGAGAAAAATTAGCTCTGGCATAGCTCGGTTTTTTTGTTTAGTTTACTTTTGTCATACCTTCTAGCTATGTTTTAATTTAAATTCTACTTATAATATTAATTTAATTTAATTCAATATTTTCAATACTTCTAAATCTGTTCATCTGAAAGTAAAACTATTTTTAGTTAACCTTTTGTTTGAGCAATGGTTTTAGTTCTCATCTACATCTATATTTATCCATAGTGGGTTTGTTATTATTACAAATATAATTATGTTGTGTCAGTTCATTTTTAATTGATATTAACAGTATAATTATGTGTTCAATTATTTCACATCATTATTCTCATTGTAAACTGATCAAAGATGCTGTGTGTTTGTCCATTTTTGTGACCACAGAAGATTAAACTTTGATGAACCTGATGAATAAATATTACTCTGTTCAGCTGAGCTAGCTTGCTGCTACAGAAAACTTTAGAGGTAATTCAGAGAGGACACGACACAATTAGCTACTGTTCGATAAACAGAAAGCAGTGAATGTCTGAGAGGGATAAATACACTCGATTGGCCATGTTATTATCCAATTAAAGATGCAAACTGGAAAATCTAACATTAAGATTTAGGAAACCTCAGTCGTAATAAACCTCACAAAAACAGAAACTTGGGAGATAATTGAGAACGATTAACAACAGGATTTATATGTTAAAAACTGGACATATTAATCACCTGGTTTCCTTCTTGTTTTTACCCTACCTCTGATGGTTTAAGTGATGAGTAATATTGACAAAAGGTATGCTGCCATTACTCTGTGTACTCGTATGTAATGTTAATGGCCATTTTCTGTCCCACAGGGTCATTACAGGGTCATTACGCCTTCACTCTACTTCTACTCTGAACTGTGTTCTGAGGTTTTTGAGTTCACAAAAAACTTCTGCTGCTTTCAAAAAGGAAATCATATGAGGAAGTTGTGAATGTAGCTGAGAATGTTTATCAGTAACTATGAGTAACAGAAGCGGAAGTAATCCTACCTGACATTGTCATGGTTATGTTGCATATTGTAATCGTCCTGGCCGGCTAAGATGGTGCAATGTAAAGCAATGACAGGCTTACAATCTGGCTTGACCAAAGTTGAGCAACACAGGCTTATGTTGCAGTTAAGATGTTAAGTGAGCACATAACTTCATGCCACATTAATATATCTGTTATTAGTGTGAAGTGTGAGCTCAGCCAGCACCGTCTCGTATAGCGTTGTAAACATAATGTACACATGGACCATGACAGACTCATTGAACTGGACTAATGTGCTGGTCTTTCACTGCTGCTTGTGCAGACTTCACGCTGAGATGAAGCGGTCTTTGGCACGCCACACACAACGTGAGTCCATTTATTCAAATGCATATGACACATAAAAGCCTTTGTATTTTTACAAAGACCACAATTAGCATCTAAAACACACAAAACAGCCTATAATGGTTCTGATTAAACCAGTTAAACATAAAAAATGACTCTCTGCTGCTTTTTAAACAAGCATGTTTAACACACAAACATACACACAGAAAAACAAGGCTGAAGCACAGCTGGGACACATTAACTAGATCATGGAAGCCAGTACCAGAAGTGAGTGCTGGGCAAGAGCGCATGACTAACAGAGGACATGCAGAGTAACATGGGTACTCCATCTCTTCTGGTATATCATGCCTATGGAGATTTTTATTTTTCTCTTCAAAGAAAATCACACACAGTCTGTATTACACAAGGATATGTGTGCACATTTCTGTATCGTCTATACTTTGGAAAAAGGTGTCTTCTTTATGGCCCATTCATATTCAGTAAAGATGATGGATGGATGGATGGATGGATGGATGGATGGATGGATGGATGGATGGATGGACGGACGGACGGACGGACGGACGGACGGACGGACGGATTTTCAGTACAACTGCAACTCAAAGGTACAACTTCTCTACTCTGCCTCTAGCTCAACTCTCCTGCGCAGGTCACTCCTCTACTGTGAGTGCTGCACAACTCTCTTTCTGTGTGTAACAATTTTCCTACATATTTTGCAAGTTGATTGTTGCAAAACAGAAAATGTGAGGAGGTTGGGGTGAGGGGAGGAGTGTTGCTAGGGCAACAACAGAAGGACGTTTGGTGTTAGCCACTCAAAATGAGAGCTCCGAGCGTCACATGATTACAGTCAGTCGGGCTTGGCCTTCATCTCAACTCTGCATCTACGATGCTATGGAGCACCAAGCCAGGGTACGTTTAACTCAGAGTCTTTAAAAAACTTTGCTCATCTGAAGCAGAAGTAAAATGAACAGAAACAAACAAACAATCATTAAAAAAACATTAACTTTTTATTACGAGTAGTGTAGAAAATGTGGAGTCAGGTCAGCATGTCTTTATGACAGCAACACGGAGTCAATAAATTAAAATGACTGTCGACTAGCTTTACAAAGTATTCACTGTTAGGAGTCATCAGGACTCTGCACCACAGAGCAGACAGTGTCCCCACTAACTCAGGAGCCAGACAGAAGGAGAAATCCCACACAAGACAGGCTCTAGAGCAATGTGGATATCCTAACTGGGTCTTCCTGAAAGCAGAGAAGAAACCCAAACAGGACTCCAGTCAGCCATCAGGTGAAAAGGAGGAACCCAGACCCAGACCAGTGGTCATTCCGTATGTTGAGGGAGTATCAGAGAAACTGAGACGTTTATTTTCTAAACATAACGTCCCAGTGGCTTTTAAACCCCAAAATACATTACAGCAAAGACTGGTTCATCCCAAAGATCCAGTCCCCCAGCAAAAACAGAGCAATATAGTGTATCCTGTTCAGTGTCAGGAGGGCTGTGATCAGTCTTACATCGGGGAAACTAAACAGCCACTGGCCAAAAGGATGGCCCAGCACAGAAGAGCAACATCATCAGGCCAGGACCCTGCAGTTTAAACTCATGTCCAGGCCAGCGGTCACTCTTTCAGGGATGGAGATGTTCACATCCTTGATAGAGAGGAATGCTAGTTTGAGAGAGGAGTAAAGGAGGCCATCTTTGGAAAAAGAACCCATCCATTGTTAAACAGGGGCGGAGGCCTCCGTGTTCAACTACCACCCTCTTACAATGCTGTTATTGCACGTATTACTCAGTCCCCTGTGAATAGCAAGCAGCTATCAGGGAACTAATGACCAATTGTTAGGGCTCGAACAATCCATTGCTAACACCAGGCTAATTGCTAACACCAAAGTCCATTCATCCTTTTACATGTGAATAGCTAGTTCTGGCTGTCAGTAGCAAACTGGTTGATCCACTATTGTATCATTTACATGGGCACAATATGTTCATGACGAGCGTTTACATTCAGCGGACTTTCATTCTGAATAGAAGTACTGACATGTGTACAGTGGTAAACTCTCCTAAAAAAAAAAATAAAATAAAAAAAACACAAAAGAAGACGTTCTACTTCCGGGATGAAACAAACTTGAGCGCCCAAAATGGACCCATGACAGGTTTTACTGACGGCGGAGACATTACTGCCCTCCCTGATTGAGCTACAGGTAATACAGATAACTTTGAGCTCTTTCAAAGTGTCTAGTAGAAATGTTGTCGCTCACCGACCAGTTTTGCTTCCCCGACATGCTAATATTATTAGCATTAGCCAGGCGGAAATATGTGAGGTAGACATAGGTCACGCATGCGCAGTCAGGTCAGTTTTCCACAATCGGAAAAAAAATTACAAATTAAGTGTTTACATGCACACCGTTCGATTATGAATCAGCATAAACCACTCCTCTCATTCTGATTACAAATTCTTTCAGATCGAGCTGAATCAACAAAGAATAATCTGAACGAGGCGTTTACATGACGCATTTTTATTCTGAATCCAATTATTTGTGTCCATGTAAGCATAGCTTCTGAAAAGGTGCTGCTTAAAAAGCTGAGTTTGCTGCAGGGTCTCAGACTGACGAAGTCTTTTGGATAAAAGACGAAACATTTCAACAAGAAGAATTCATCCAGAGGACCTGACTTAACTTTGTTTGATTTTTCTACCTGGATTATTGAACACAGTTCTGTGATTTACTTTTAAATTTAAATTTAGGATCACTGCAGCTGTTGGCTACCAAAAGGATGCTAATGATGGAGTTGTTTTAAGAAGTCATCAATCCACTTTGGACTTAAACTAGCCAACAGATTTTTTTATCCAGTCATAAATGTGCTTTATTTCTTCAATTTGAATGTATTCAGTAGACTATCTTCAACAGGTAAAAGGTAAATTCAATTCAATTCAGTTCAATTTATCTATATAGCGCCAAGTCACAACAGAAATCATCTCAGGGCGCTGAACAGAAACATATACAAAAATAAGTTAACACTATTTATCTGAGGAGCAGACTGCTTTTGTCATAATGCTCATAACCCACTGTTCAAATAGATCTGTACTCTCTCTTTAGTGCACATCAGGGAGAAATCCACTCATATGATGGATGTGTGCACTGTGCATGTCGACTTACCCATGAATGAGCCTGTGCTGCAGATAAGGCTGAAGAAGCAGCTCTCAGGTGGAAGAGTCCCACATTTACTACAAGACAGAGAACAAAGATATAAACCACACAAATACTATGTGTATCAGCACATTTAACAGCAACAAGACCACAGTTTTCAGCTTTTTCAGCTTTTTCAGCAACACCCTGAACAGTTTGAGTTCAGCATGTGGAGGACAACTGGGGCAGGGCTTTGATCCGTCACATCCCGTTGTCAAGTTTTGACTTTTCACCTACTGCAAGCCGCCTCTCTTCTAGGAATGGGAAATGTTTGTACAACGGGAAGACAGGAGACAAAACTTGGAGACTCTGACCGAGCTGGAAATCAACACTGCAAAGTCACATATTCTCAAAAAAGTTACTAAAATATACAATTCATCACACAAATATGCATACTAAGCAGTAATTTGATTAGGAGGTCCTTTTTGAACAAAATGGCATTGTCTGCTTTTTTCAGTTAATTTAGCGCAGTTGAAGGAATTTCCACTGCATACACATTTTATGCAAATCAGACTGGGACGGTTCTTTTGAAGTTAGAGGCTGAAAAGTGAAATGTGAAAGGAGAAGCGTCTTGATTTCCCCCCCAAATAAAAGCAGACTCCTCCATGCGAGCATGTTTACACGGCTAAGTGAACTGCCACGGTGGCAAACACCAAGCTTCTGCCAAAAGCTATTTTCAGAAAGCGCACGCAGACGCTCACAGGAGAATGGTCTCCTTCAGGCTCATTCACTTTGTTTTTTTTATATAAATAGAGTGCAGACATGAATTGTGTAAAACAATGGGACAGTTTTCCTGTTTTTAAACCAGCAGATGCAAAAATGCAGAAGAGTTATAAGGTTAGGCCACTGAGGGTGGGAGTTACCTGATGAGAGGTACATTGTCTAACGTGCAGCAGAAGGACGGGCCACTCTGCAAATACAGCTCCTCTTCACATGACTGGTTGTACAACCTGCAGCAAAAAAACATGTACTAAATATGTATCACAATAATATTACTATCTATGTAATACATTTCTTAACAGTGTTGCAAAGTGCTTTACAGGAAAGGATTAATTTTTGCACAAGTCTTACAAACACAGCAGTGCCTATGATGTTAGAACAAAACAGACTGTGCAAAAACACAACCTTATAATTTGTGGAATGATTGACACTTTAACCGTTTTTGGGAAATCCTTCACTGACTAAATGAGGTCATAATCAGGCTTTTTGTTTCCAGGATCAGTAAGTCAATCCTAAATGACTGGACAAAATGCAACTAGGCTTTCTATTTGATGAATCTATTTCACCTCTGATCTAAAAGTTTTCTTCCCTTCTGAAGCAAATGGAAGAAGACTTTTGAACCTTTTGAATTGGGAGTTTCAGGCTTTTAAGTCACTAAAACAGTTGTTAGATGCACATATATCACTGACCCGCTGGTTCATTCAGAGTCGTTTGAATCAATGTTCCAACAAGACCAACGTGTGACGAGTTTCAGTCATGTTTCCAGGTGTGAACATTTTCATCTAGTGAGAACCAAGGCTGTAGTTTAGGTTTTAATAAAGAAAACAGTTTTTTTCTGAAGGTTTGGTTTGGTTTGAAATGCATCTACATGTGGAGAAAATCCAGAGCTTCTCAGATACTCTTCCTACATCTTGGGTCGATATTATTGTTGTGTCTGTTTTGCTTTTTTTCTCAGCTTGGTTTTGGAAAATGTTTTCCTAGCTGACTTGACAAAAGCCTAGTAAGGAAATCTAAAGATTTGAAGAGTGTTGGCTTGGATTTTGACCCTGGTGTCATCAACCTATCTAAACCAGCTGCTCAGTGTTGTTCCCTTGTAAGAGATTAGACTCCTCATTTTCTACAATGTGTAATGCTGAAAAACTATCAACATATTTGAAATACGTGGAGGAAAGACAAAGATCCAGCAGGATGCTGATCTGGGCCAGGGTGACGTTGGTTCTGTTGTTATTCCTCAATCCTGACTGACCATCTACACGAACATAAGCGTGCTATCAGAAGTAGAGATTAACCTCAGTTGGTCTGAACAAAGGAACAGTCATTCTCAATGTAAACAAATCACAGTTCAAATATGTAAATTTAGCCGTTTTCTTTCCAAATGCTTACTTTTTAACTGGCCTGGTGCTAGTTTAGATTTTTAATGTAGAAAATGAGCTAATCGTGTTTTGTGGAGAGAACATTCACCCGGTTTTTGTTGGGCAGCGGCTTGTAAGCAAGAATGTGTAGAAATCAACAGAATTATGAAGAGGCAAATACAGAAACAATTCAACAACCTACCAGTTGTTCACAGGGCAGACGTGCTGGTTGTACAGGGCCATGGCGTATCTAAAGTGAAGACAGAAGTATTACTCGAAAAAGAAGATTCATTTGGAATAAAAGTTCGAACTCACAGCACCCAACTCCTGATAGAGCCGAATGTTTTGACATGTGAATAGCTAAAATAGCACAAAGTATGCAGAAGTAACACCATTTTATATAAAATTTTAACAAAGTAACTCAGTAAGCAACAAGTTAATACAGGAAAAAAAAAATCTGTAAAAAAAAAAAGCAATGTGGATTATGAGGGCTAAATTGCTGAGGACTCTTAAAGTGAGTTGTGAAAGATAAACGAATAAAAAGGAGAACACTAACTTGACGCTAAATGGAGCGAAACACTAGCTAAAAGTAGGAAAAGGCAAGCTAGCAAAAGGCTAACTAAACATATCTAAAGGCTAGCTATAAAAGGGTAGCTAAAAACTGCAAACAGCAGTTCAAAGTAGTAAAATGCTAGGTAGAAGATAAAAATATCAAAGGACTAAAAAAAATTGCAACACACGATCTATAAGTATCAAAAATAACAGCTAAAAGTTAAAAGTACCAAAGTCTAGCTAAAGGCTATAAGTCACAGGAGACTAGCTAAATATTAATATTATTACAAGAATAGCTAAAGCTTAAACGTCACAGAATGGTAGACAAAAGTAACAAAAGGCTATCTAAAAGCTAAAAGTAGCACAAGGCTAGTTAAAAGTCATAAGTTGCAGAATGATAGCTAAAAATAAAGGTAGCAAAAGAAATTGAACAAGAATGATGAAACAGATTTTAAAAAGAACAAAGAGAACAATTTTTTGAAGAAAGTGGACAGATTTTAATGAATTTCGATGGAAAAATGTAAACGAAGTTGAATATTTTCAAAAGTATAACGTTACAAAAGTCAAAGCACCCATCAGCTAAACATTTTCACAATATAAAAAGCACAAAGTATGCAGAAGAAATTAGATTGAAAAATACAAAGAATTTAAAATCTGTAAAACGTGAACAACAATAAGAGTTAATTTAAAGATAACATAACTCATGAATTAAATGGTGCATTGAAGCTAACTGTTAATCTTCATTCAATTTTTGCAGTGCAGTGAAAAGTCCTATTGGTGATAAATTTTAAAAAGGGAACTGTGCAACATTAAAACTCGGCCCGTTCGAGGTTCCACTGAGAGCAGTCTGTTCATCCTGAAGGACCAGGTGACCAGACAGATAACCGACAGCTTCGTATCTCAGTCCAGATTTCAGGGTTCAAAGACTGGTTTGCTTCAGCCAATTCAAATACATACTAAAACGGCAGACATCAGCTACGTTAGTAAAGTGCAAATTTAAAAGAATGTGGACCAAATTAGTCGTTTACATTCATTAAACAAATTTATTTCAGCGTTATGCTTAAAAATACACTTTACCTCTTAAATCTAGGGAACTTCTATTATGCAATAATTGTGTTATGATGTCTGATGTTAATATTTTATTAACAATGTTTAAAAATTTTAGCTGAACTCAGTGACATACGGCTGAACCGAAAATGCAGCTTCTCGTGAAGTAACTTGTTTTGACTGATGCTCCCTTTAATATAAAGCTGTCTTCAAGCTTTAACACGGGGACGTTGGTTATTTCACCAGCAGCAACCTGCACAACTCAGCTGTCTGCCTGCTTTGTCCATGCATGCCCACATCTGACGCAACAGCATACAGATAATAATCTGAACTGGCGGAGTCGAGGTTCCCAGGTCTTTACATACACCAAACCATATGACTCAACTACTGATACAATATTTGTAATATAGTGATCATATCAGCATAATCGTAGATCATCACTCCCAGGAGGGAAAAACAAACACACAGGAAGGAAATACAATTGTCAGTTTGTCTCTCTTAGCATTCACCTAGCGAGACATACAGTTAAAATGTGTGTGTGGAGTGGGGGGGGGGGAGAGACAAGTGCAAGCAGAAACAGTTTGTCCTGATTTGTAAAAGCAGACACAGTTCAGGGAGAGTTTAAGTGTCTATTAGGAATGTTTGCATGGTCATTAGTCTCCTCTCAAACAAGCTTTTAAAAGACAAAGGTATGGTCAATCAGAATCACACACAACCTAGAAGTAACTAACATGCACAGAGTTTTCACATAAACACACAAAATATAAATTATAGGCAATCTGTGTGAACTAGCCGTTGTTAAAGAATCCCCACAGTGAGGTATTTGTTTGCTGTTGACCCAGCCTAATTCTTTAAACGCCAAGTTACTTTTACAACTCTAGTTGTGATTGGTAAAACGTGCAACTGGTTCTTCTCATGTTGTCAATTACTGCATGTTGTAAAGTGTGCAGGTGTTGGATTGACTCAGCTACATTAGACTTTAGCTCAGTATCTGCAAAACTGACTGAGTTCTAACCGTTTCTGTGTTCGCTAATGTCGATTAGCTGTGGCAGCCACCTTGAATCGGATTGACTGCAAAAGGTAATTAGCTCCTCTTGTAAAGCTTTATTTAAATATTTCCATTGCTTCGGGAGATATTTTACTAACAGATAGGCAAACAGAGACATGGACAAAAACATTGTCATCTGTCTTTGCCTTTCAGCAGCGTGTGATAATAATCAAGATGAAACATAACTTTTGGCCAGCTGAAGTTTCCATAATTTTGGAGAAGCATTTTGTTCATTTACTCAATGATCGAGGCTAAAATTACATGAGTGCAGCTCTGAGACTACTCAAAATAAAATCATTTTTAAATGAATGTGGGTAAATAAAACAGAGCCGTATGTGCTTGAAGGAAGCGGAGTAATAATAGGTTTGTTTATATAATTAGCCCTCCATCAAAGCTCAGCAGCAGTTGTATACTATAATTGCATGCCTGGAAGCTGTATAAAAAAGGCTGTGTGTGTGTGTTTTTCCTCTTATGTAAGACCAAACAAGGAGCAGGAGGAAAAATTTCAGTGGAAAATCTGGTTTGTGTAGAGAAAATTCCCAAAAGCTGAGCCAAAATAGCCTCGGGAAGAGGGCGGTGTTGAATAAACTATACGAGTGAGTTTGTGAAGCCTATTGTTAGCCACGCTAACATCACTGCGCTGCAGCCGATTCGTATAAAATGTGCAGCCAAAACGTGGTGCTTTCATTAAAACCTAAATCATAAAAGGTGTACAGCAGAAGCTCAGTCAAGGGACTCGGGTGGACAGAAGCATTCATGAACACTACGTGGTCGCCAGATGCTGAAGGAAAAATCTGCCTGCACCATCTATTACATCACCATTTCCAGAATTGATCTACTAAGAAGAGGCATTAGGCAACATTTGACATCTTTGAGCATTCCTGCAGACTGAAAAACAAACAGAAACAGGGCACTCTTGTCAAGTTAACTGGAAAATAACAAATTGTATAGGACTGCCAGGAAAAATTTGGGCATCTTTCCTTAAATCACCTGTAAAGCCAAACAGTACAAACTCCTATTAATTTGTATCTTGAGATTCTGGTTCTACTATTCACAAACACAAAACAAGTCATTTCTCAACCAAACTCGTTGCTGATGCAACACACAGAATGGAAACACAACAATTTAGAGTTGCACCATCTGTTTTTCTTTCTCTCCTTAGGGTTTACGTTCCTCCTCGCCATACACTGGCAGAGCCGGGGGAAGAGTTGCCAGCCTGCGTACAACTTGCAGTTTTATTTCTCAAGTACTCTCAAGTACTTCTGCTCAAATACTGTTCAGCTGATAATAAAGACAGACTGTAAGTCTGCATATTTCACTTTTAAGAGAGAGCTGAAAATCCCAGATCCTTCGTGAGAGTTAATCCACGTGCCGATTGCCATGGCTTCGAGGAATTCAAGATAAACACGCTGCATTGCTCCGATGAAGGCAGGAGAAGCTGAGCTATGTAAAGGTTTATAGTTCAACATTTTTAGAAGATATAAATCTTCAAATTCTTAGCATTATTGTTTGTCTGTCATCTTAGCAACGTATCTCATGAGTCACTGGGTGGAAATGAACGAAACTCTCTGAAGGTAATCTTTGGATGTACATCTACAACTGATTGAGTTTTGTAGCCGAGTCATTCCAAACATATTCTCCAAGCACTAATTAACTGTGCAATATAGATGAACTACCAAGCAGCCTTTTCAGCTCAGAAAGTTTTGAAGATTTTCTTTTCCACCCATAAGTTTTTAAACGTTACTCAAGATGCGTGTTTGGTTGTCGAAGAGGTGTAAAACTCACACAACCCAGATCCCAGTGATGCTCAGGACTGGGAGGCTGACAGGCAGGATCATCCACAGAGACATATCTTCCAGTAGCCCGAGCAGCTCCTTTCCTCCGGGTCCTCTCTTTCCTCTTCGACCAGATATCCAACCAAGAAGCACAAACATCTAACTGCTGGTGGCTGACATCTGCTCTGCCACTGGTGGGTTCATTTTCTTCAAGATGGAGGCTGGCAGATGTGCCCTCTGGGCTGGTGAAAAAGAAAGGGTTAATGAATGACCGTAATCAGATTTTTCTCACAAGCTAATCACTGTCATGGTAAACTAATCTTCGCTGTGCTTTGAAATGTGATGAATAAAGAAACATCACTTCTGTCTTTTCCTTATCATCTCAACATATGTTTGTTAGCGCGTCCATTTGAAACGCATATCGTTTTCAATTATAAATATAATTTTTACAAGCTCGTTTTCATATGTTAATTCAGTAAAAATAGAAACTTTGGGTTGTTTTCGAACTGCCACAGAGCATCAAAGCCAAATTTGGGAGACAGTACTCACCGTTCAGCCTGACGGGTTTTTTTTTTTTTTTTCCTTCTTCTTCTTTTGGCAGGTCTTAAGGAAAACTTATGTGCACGCGCCGACGTGTCCTCCGCTCCCAGACTAAAAAAAATTAACAAATTAATTTACTTTTTCTTTTCTCTGTTTTCCGAAGCAGGGACTAGGTTTCTGCCGGTTGAGCCAGCGTTACTTTGAAACGCTAGGAGACTACAACTCACTCTCTGGATAAACTGCCGTTGCGTCTCTGCCACGAGACACTGTACTCCGACAGGTCGACTCCGCCCATATGTGGGCGGGGTATCAGCTCTGGGCGTGGTCATTCAAAAAAACGCAACTTGTTTAAAAACTGCCCCCTGGAGTTTGAATATAAAAATACTACTATAGTAGTTTTCCTACGGGGTCAAAATTTTTGTTTCTACACTTTTTTACGGAGCTTCAAAGACATAAAGTTAATGTTAAGTTCCAATTTTGTAATTGTGAACAAAACGCTGCCAGCAGTCAAGTCATTCTGTATAAACAAAGGTTGAATGAATTCATTGCAAATTATGACATCATAAAAAGTTCTCTTGAACTGCATCAAATGGTGCTATTTGAAAGGGGTTACTCCAGTAGTTTTCCAGATATATTGATATACAATTCTTAAATGCGGGTTCACGCTCAATGCAAAAAAAGCACTCAGCAGATTAGGCTGGCTGTGGTCTGTGTAGGTAAACGTAGAAATAAAGAAAACAGAAAGACCGAGTAAGAAAAATATCAAGAATAACATCAAGGATCAAGTGCAGAGGTAGAGCACCAAAAAGTTGACTATTTCTATGTTTTTTCAACTCTAGTCGAACACTAACATTCATTCAACCTTTATTTATACAGGTTTCATTGAGTCACGAGGACGCATTTTCAAGAGAGGCCTGTTTTCGACAGACAACATAAAGTACAGACAACAATAATTCAACAAAAAGCAATTAAAATCAAATGAAGTTATACAATACAATGCAATACCACTTTATTTATAAAACACTTTAAATGCAACACCGTTGGCCAACGTGCCGTACACTAACACAGTTTAGGGGCAGCGACTGAAAACGTTCAGTATAAACACAGTCAAATCAAGATGCCACATAAAACAAGATAAAACACTAAAAACAAGAATTTGATATTTCTATTAACATTATCAAATGTTAAAACCCCTTAAAGAGATCAAATCGATAGCTCCAGGTCTTGTTGCAAGGTGTTCCAGGTTACGCAGAGTAAGAAAAGGCCTTTTTGCTGAGTTCAGTTTGCACTGAGGGAACGCTGCAGGTAATGAATCCCTGAAAGCACACGCCATAGCTGCACTGACAACGTGACATGTGCATGTCAAGTATGTGTAAACATACTTTACTCAACTTAACTGAGCATAAATACGTACCTATACATCAAAACTGACAGACTTCTAGTTCACATACAGCTCTTTTATGGACGCCAGCTGAAATCTGATCCCCAATTTGCTCACGTTTAATGATTTAAAGACATTAAACACAGATGTGATAAAAGAAACGGAGTGGATAACTTTAGATAAAACAAACTATATATGTATAGATATAAACTCTCGGATAAGACTATAATTTTATTAATTTTTTTAAAATGAGTTGTGTTTATTTATTTATCTGTTTGTTTGCTTTTACCTTGCAACGAGTACCTTTAAATTTAAGATAACACACATTTTCTCAATAGTAATCACAAAGCTTCCCTCTTTTATTCTTTCAAAAGTTCAAAGACAAGATAAAAGTTTATAAGTTCCTGTTTTGGGAAATTTAAAACCATTTGTGTTACCAAGAAAACATCTAATTCTGCTAATTTCCTAAACCGTTTTAGATTATTGCTCTTTTTCAGTCTTCTGTTGCTACATTTTGTGATGACGAGGAAACCATTAATGTAGCTAGTTCTCAAACCGTTCATGACAAGTACCACCCCAGAAGATGCTAATATCAAAGTACCACCATTATGACAGACATAAACAAACAAACTGTTCAGATCCCTAACTCTAATGCTGGTTAAACTCTGCAGTTTCTGGAAAGTTTGAATACTTTCATTGCTGAGAACAACATACAACGTGGTCTTAGGTTTGGCTCTGCCTTTCAACAACTGACTACAAATTCAAGACAACTTGAACTGTATGGAAGGTTAAACGAGGGCACATATTATATTGTAAAATGTTTTGAGTATCTTGATTAGATAATAAGGTGCTGTACAGTCCATTTACCATCTGAATACATTTTTCTATTGCTATTTTTGTTGGAAGCAGATCCTGCAGAAAATGTCACTGGCACTGTTTGGAAAGTTTTGGTCAAAGTTTATGGAAGTTTTTAACTACTATAGCTGAGAATGTTAACTCTGCCCATGAATCATATGTTTGGGAAAGCTGAATGAGGAGCTGGCTGAGAATGCTTCGTGCAGTTGTTGCTCTAAGGACGCCTCCGAGTCTGTGAGCTTGGCTGAACTGATGAGCATATAAAAACAAGCTTCGCACACAGCCCGTGGCAGATTCTTCTGACTGGGCTTCATGCGTGTACTTCCTGTATATCTGTGTAACCTGTCCTGAAAATCTGTCCTTGCAAGTAAAAACCAGTTAAAAATCTTCCCCTGTCGTCCAGTGTGACTCCTTTTAGGTAAGTGAGATAAAGCAAGAGTACTTTTCTCTAGCAGAACGTTTTCAGAACATTGTTTCAACGGGAACTCCTAAAATATTCTCCATCGCTGTTTTGTTTGAAGGATTTTAACCACTATTTCTATTTTTTAATAATTATTTTTAGTTTTACATCACATTTCAGCTTATAATGCTTAACTGACTTTTTTCTTCAAATTCAATTTAATTCAAAAATACGTTATTAATCCCAAAGGGAAATTAAGTGTTGTTGTATCTCATGATCCTGGTTTCATTCAAGAGTTGTTATAGATGCTGATAGCTGTGGGCAGAAAGGATCTCCTGCAGCGAATCCGAAGAATCTGGCCACAGATACCGATCCGTCCTCCTGGATCCAGCTTGCTGTCAGATCTGACAGGCCTCTTGGTCCTCCTGGGCAGCAGAACTGACCAAATAACGGGCAGAATTCCTCCATGAGCGATGTTCACTCCTCCCAGCAGTCTGCTGAGCTCCTCATCACCACGAACAGACAGCTGAAGGTGCCGGAGTATAATCCCGGTCCTCTCGTTGTTACGAACCAAGGTTCCCACTAGCTCCAGGTTGACGGGAATTCATCCACGGTGACTCCTTTTCAACTCATTTGGGATTTGGGGCTGTAGTTGAGGTATTTGAGCTTTTGAGATGTTAATCAGATGCTCTTGTTTGGTAAAAAAAAAAAAAAACTTGTTGCCATGGTTACGTATCATAACAAATGCCCAAAAGTAAAAAGGTTTCAGTAAAAATCCTTCCAGCTGCACAACATCTGATACCAGAGTAATCATCCGAAAAAAAGTGATTTACATCCAGAAAAAAGAAGAATTAAAGTTTTCAAAAGCAATAACAGAATGAAAGTAACAGAGCTGCTCCAACATGCAGCCACCCCGAGCGGCGCCATTCTAGAACTTCTTCCTCTTTTTCTTTCGGCTGTTCCCTTCCTCAGGGGTCTCCCCACAGCGAACTAACTCGCACTTGGTAACTGTTTATTCGCCAGATGCGTATAAACAATTACCAATTACCACCAGGCATCCCTCTCTCTAGCTTCTCCTTCCTGACACAACTACAGATCACTGAGCTACCACAGCTCTCTGTGTGGAGCAGAGAGCTGCCATTTAGGGAGCCTGAGAGAGCAGATGGATGGGGTTAAGGGCCTTGAGGAGACAGTTGTGAGTGTTTCACTTTTCTCATCCACATTTTGATGTTGTCAGCACGGGGAGTCGAACTCGCGACCTTCCGATCACAGGCCTGCCTTCTGTAAACTCGGAGCCTATCTTGTAAAAAAAAAAAAAAAAAAAAAAAAAAAGTACCACTTAGTACCACTAGAGGGCTCTTGAGTACCACCAGTGGTACTTGAGAGCTTGAGAAAGATGTGGAGGTTGGAATGTGACAAAATTAAAGAAACATGGATGTAGGTCTGACATACAAAACTCTTGTCTGAGAATAAGAGGGGTCAGAGCATTCAGGGTCCTGACTGTGGAACAGTTTCCATCTCCATCTTCTACCGCTTATCCATGAGTTGCAGAGGCAACAGGTCCAGGAGAGAAACATGGACATCCCTCTTTCCAGCTCCTCCTGTGGGATCCCAACAGGTTACCAGGTCAGAAAGGGTATCCCTCAAGGGAGTTCTGGGTCTGACTGTGGACTGAAGACTGGAACAGTCTTCCTCTAAAAGTCAGGATGATGAGTTATAGTGCTTTAAATCACAACTGAAAACCTACAACTTTTCAAGATATGTGTTCAACGTTTCGGATTTAGTTCTAATTTTACATTGTTTTAATATTTTTGCATTGTACTGTTGCTTTTGTTTTTCTGTGTAGTTCCTTGCTCTCGTTCTTATTTTGTGAGTATTCGTTCCAATCTGTTTTTACTGTATTTCATTTGATATAAAGCACTTTATAATTTTTAGTTTTAAGAAGTGATATAACAATTTACTTACAAAACAGTGCTTCATCACTCCACCATCTCCAAACTCTTTCTTTGGAAATGTTCCAGTCGAACAGGCCAAAAATCAACACAAGAAGTTTTATTTGAACATTCTTGCCTCCTCCAAAATGATAATAAACCAAATGACATTTTAGATTTTTAGAGCAATGTTTAAAGTATAAAAATGTTTGTAAAACTTCAACATTTACACCATTTAGCACTTTTGGGTTTATGATTTGGAACACAAAATTGCACTAAAAAATATAAACATCTCAAACTTGAAGGGTTTTTGGAGCGCTCTTTTCTTAGACACATGGATAAATAAATATATTTAATAATATTTCAATGTTTGGCGATAAAATCTTCTGCCAATTTTATTACAATTATAAGTAATATTTTGTTATTTGAAAAGAGGAACCAAAGTGATGTACTAAAGATTGATATGTTAAAGCAAAATCATGCAACGATGAATTCGTTTTACATTTAATTGTTTATTGACTGCCAAGCTCAAGAATGGCTTCTTTTTTTTTTTCTCAAACTGAAAAAGCATCAAAAAATTTAAATAACATACAAAATCTTGTTCATTTGGGTTCTATCAAAAAGCAGTCCTTAATGAAATACAATGAGTATCCTCATTACTGTCTTTTTTGGACTATCAGGCGAACTTATAATCCTTTAATTTTCTCAAAAATCGACAGTATGGTGCGCCTTATGTATTAATTCTGGTTGTGCTTACTGACATCAAACCAATTTTATGTGGTTATTGCGAATAAAGTTTGACTTATCTATGTTGTTTCGTTTAATGCGTCTTATAATCCGGTGCACCTTACAGTCCCAAAAATACGGTACTATCAAAAGTAAAAAAGAACACAATTCTCATCTAAAAGTGTACCACATTTGTAAACAAAAGTAAGCAGATTTCTTAATTTAAGTCATAGGCTGCTTTTTTCAAGGATTTTACCGTTGAAACAAGATGAACACAAACATGACATTCTTAAATATAAGCATGGTACAATATATACAAAAATATTAACAAGTATTTCACATTTTTCTTACTTGCAAGTGACATGTAGTCTACAATCTTAACTCCCCCATAAACTATAATCACTAAACAAGAGCATTTGTTCAAAGATAAAGGCTGAAAAATGTCAAACAAAACCAAAGTAAACCCCGTACTGCTTCTTGCCATAAATATTGGGATTTTTAGTTTTACCAAGCTGAGGCCCCTCTACAGCTTACAGTGGAGCCAAAGCCCCACACACTAAAAGCAGGGTAGACAGCTTCTGTAAACGAGGTGTAGACTCTGTGCAGAAGTCTCATGCCGTCATTGACGCTGTAAAACGCAAGAATTCCACCTGTATGGTCCAGATAGACGCCGATCCGGGACGCCATCGGAGCAGAGAATTCGGTGCTCTTATTGTTGTGCACGAAGGTGTACTTGGAGTCAGAGCAGTACAGACTCCACGACTTGTTGTTCCAGCCCAGGCTGCAGTCGTTCCCGGTTCCTTTGCGGCGGATTCCCCTGTAGGTGACGGCCACGTCGATCTCTGTCCCCCGCCAGTCCACCTCCCAGTACCAGCGAGCTCCAGACAAGCTCTCCCTGCACAACACCTGGAAGAAAAGGAGAAGAAATAAATAGAGGCGAAATTCCCATACCACATGTACTGAGACATTTAAAGCACTTTTAAAAACCAGGGTGGTTTTGAAGCTTCAAAAAGAAGACGATTGCTTTAAATTCAAATAGAAGACATTAAATTCTCACCTGCTGCCAGTGATCAAATCGATCAGGGTGATCAGGATAGTGTCTAGGTTCACTTTTCATCGTTACTGTCCTGTTTCCCTCTGAAAGGTGAAGGTTGGGGTGGACAGTATTGACATCTAGCGTCAACTGACAGGAGTCTGAAAAGGACAAAAAAATAAAAAATTAAATATGATTCCTATAGTGCTGTTTGTGAACCATACCTCTGAGTAGTGTAAGACTGGGTGTGGCAGGTTGTTTAAAAAGGTTTACACCGGGAAGTATCGCCTTTATTTGCTTAAGCAACGCTGAACTGGAAGTTTCCCTTCAAACATGTTGCTGAACCAGTTTGGCAAACGTCTTTGGAGCAGGTTTCAGTCATCTCTCCAAGGGCCGTCCTTTGTTCAGCCGTTCAATGCTGCCCTCAAGTCCAAGTTTTTCTAAATAACTTGGATTATCTCTAATGAGATTATTAAGGTTTGCTACTAATGCCACGAAACTCTGACAAATAAAAAGTTAAGTAGATTTACTTTTTCCTTTCCAGAACTCAAACTCACATTTCAAGAAGTCCTCTCTTGTCCTCGGTTCTTCATTCGGACTTGATTCTTCCCTGCTCCTTGTTTCTGCTCTCAGAATCGATTCTCTTCTTGGCCTTGCATCAGCTTCTTCTGTGATGTACACTTCCTTCACTGTAAAGACAAAAAACAAAACAGTGAAACGTCTGAAAAGAAATGCTAAATGTAGTGGGGGGGGGGGTGAAAGGAGCACAGTAAGTCCACCTGCTCCTGCGATTTTGCCCATTTCGATTTTGCTGACTTCTTCTAATTGGATCTTCAGTGCAGCGATGGCTCTCTTGGTGGCGTCGAAGGAGTAATTGGGAGCAACACTGACGTTGTTCAGGTCTTCGTACCCGGAGGGGCCGGACAGAGACTGCCAGCTCTGATCAAAATAAAAAGATTCAAATTGGAGATGGGACAAATCTTGCATTTTATCGCCACGCCTGCTATGAATTTGAGCCCCTCACCTGTAGAAAGTGGATGTGATCATCAGTGCGTGAGAGCTTCTCCAGGTTGTTGTGCCTCTTCTTCAGCAGGGTGATCTCCTCTTCCAAACGGTCCAGCAGAATCTCACCCCGGGACACGGTCATCTTTTCGTGGGAGCGGACCATCTCCTTGACCTCGTTGTACTTTCTCTCGATGAGCTGCAAAAGCTCATTGAAGATCCGCTCATTCTCCCCCTGCACTGTTTTAGCCGAGTGCTAATGATACACAGGCAAGAGGGCAAAATGAATGAAAACTAAGGCATTTTGTTTTTGAATGACGCCATGTTTGAATTGGTGTGAACAAGAAGAGATGGCCTACCTGAACGGATTCAACAGCTTGTCTTAGATCCTGCCACTTCTTTATTCTCTGGTCAATCCTTTGTTGAGATTTGTAAAGTGTGGGTCCAAGTTGTTTCTACGTGAAAGTACGGACATAAAAGTCAATAAAATCCAAAGGATTATCAGTGTGTACAGAATAGTTCTGTTCACTCACTTGTTTCTCGGTCCTCTCAGTTCCAGCCGGGACGATGTCGTGGTGTTTGTGTTCATCCAACATGCACAGAACGCACACCAACGTCTGGTCGGAGCGACAGAAAGCTTCCAGCAGCTTGTCGTGCTGTGCACAGACCTTCTCCCTCATCTGACCCGTCGCTTTAACCAGTTTGTGCTTCATCAGGGTAGGGTAGGTGTAGTGCGACTGCAGGTGATCCTGACAGTACGAGGCCAGGCACACCAAGCAGGACTGAGAAGCCTTTGTCTTCTTGGAGGTGCAAAAGTCGCAGAGGACTTCTCCAGACCTGACCTGGGATTTGCTCTGGCTACGAGTGTTTGGCCGATTCGATCTATCCATGCTGCTATATCTCTCTAACTCCAGAATGCCAGTTTGAGACATTTTCTTCCAAAAATGTAAAAAATTAATAAAAAAAAAATAAAAAAATCCAGCAGATGTGAAAAATAAAAAAATTAAAAAATCTGAAGATTGTTTATCTAGATAGAAATGTTTTACCTTCTTGAAGAAACGTGTTAAAAATAACTACAATGCAAAAAAAAAAAAAATTGCTTATTGAGTTCTTAAAGTTTCCAGCTTCGGTGAAACTGTGACACTGACTCACTGTGTGACAAAACGTCTGCTATGTGCTCTAATCTCATTGTAAAACCAGTATTCCAGGTTGGACATTTAACAAGAGAAGGAATGGGCGGAAGTACTTGAAATAAAAGTGATCCGAAAGACAAAAACTTAACAAAATAAAACACTGAATTTTACAGATGATCAATAAAAAGTGCATTTTAAAAGAAGTATATATATTTTTTTTTGTTTTGTTTTCTTTCACAAATTTGTTTTAAAACTTCAGCATTTTACATTCATAGATCTTTTAACAACACCAGTAATGAGGAAATAGCATCATCTAGTGGAATAAAATTTTAACCTCATTGAATATTTTCCACTGCAAGGCCTGAGAGTTTCATGGTATGTTGGTCAAATTTACCAGAACTCCATAGCACAAATCATTTTTCCACATTTGAGCAAACTGGATTAAAAAAAAACCTTGTAAATTAATGCTAAATGGACTGTACTTATGTAGCGCTTTATATCTAAAGCACTTTACACTACAATCGGAGGCAATGAGAGGCTCGGTGTCTTGCCCAGGGGGACTTCAATGTAAATGTTGGTGGAATCGAACCCCCAGCTCTTGCATTGGAGGACAACTGCTCTAGCCACTCAGCCACAGCCCCACCATGTGCTGCCCCTAATGAGAAAAAACTGAACAGATGTGTTGAATAAAACAATTTATTGTACATTGCTTTGGTTTCTAAGAAAATCCAGATTTATATGTTTTATTCCTGCTGGAATATCTTAGTGGCATCTTTTTTGCAAATGTCAGAATAGTTTGTGAATACATATAGTCAAATTTTCCAACACTTAGAACAATTGTTTATACCCAAAAAAAAGAGAAATATATATTTTTTAATGAAAATGTGTGACTGCTGAAGCTCAATTATTATTTTCATCCCTTTAATTCAATCAGGCAAATCCCACTGAGATCACAGATCTCTTTTTCAAGGGAGGCTAGGGCCTGAAGACAAAACAAGCAACCGTGGGAGGAAACTGGAGTACCCAGAGATAACACATGCAAATACAAGGAGAACATGCAAATCCCACACAGAAGAACCCCAGGCCAATCCCAGGGATTGAACCCAGGACCTTCTTACTGTTGCTACCCACTAAGCCACTGTGCTGCCCACTGAATATTTCTGAAGAAGCTAAAACTTCCTAGTCAAGACTAAATTAAGTAAAGCCCTACCTAAAAGTTAAAAGATGGGACACACTAGCTAAAAGTATTAAATACAAGCTAAAAGTAGCAAAAAGCTAGCTAAAAGTGTCAAAAGATACTTAAAAGTAGCAAAACTGTAGCTAAAAACGAAAAGTAGCAAAAGGCTAACAAAAAGCTATAAGTATCAAAACTATAGCTAAAAGCCAAATGTAGTGAAAGGTTAGCTAAAAGTAGCTCAAGTCTAGCCAAAAGAGTAAAAGTAGCCATCTAAGCACAGCTTTCATAAAGGTGGTCTTTGCTTTGTTTTTGTGTGTTAAATGTTGTCCAACTGCCATGTTATTGAAATAGCTTAATCTTATGCAAAGTCAGCTTTTGTGCTAAATATCCAGAGCTATGTCAATCGCTCACACTGTTTCTGTAATTAAAATGTGTTTTGATCACATTTAAGAAGCATAACCTTGACTCAGGAATGCTAGCCAATTATAGACCTATATCTAATCTAACTTTCATCTCAAAAATTCTAGAAAAAATAGTTGCTGGTCTGTTACATGATCATCTTCAAAGAAATACCGGTAAACTGTTTGAAGAGTTTCAGTCAGGTTTTAGAGCTCACCACAGCACTGAATCTGCACTGGTGAAAGTTACTAATGATATTCTCATGGCCTCTAATAATGAACAGGTGTCTGCACTGGTCCTGTTAGACCTCAGTGCTGCATTTGATACAGTTGATCACAATATTCTATTACAGAGACTTGAATATGATGTACACGAACGGCTCTAAATCGGTTTAAATCATATCTGTCTGATAGATTCCAATTTGTAAATGTAAATAATAAATCTGCATCATACATCAAAGTCATGGCGTTCCTCAAGGTTGAGTGCTTGGACTAATACTCTTTACCTTATATATGCTTCCATTAAGTAAATTTATTAAACAGCATGGGATAAATTTTCATTGTTGTGCTGATGATGTACTGTTATATTTGTTCTTGAAACCCAATGAATCCAATCAGCTACTTAGACTACAAGCATGTCTTAAAGACAAAAACCTGGATGACCCTTCATTTTCTGCTTTTGAACACAGACAAGACTGAGGTTTTCGTTTTTGGACGTGAACATCTTAAGAATAAATTTTTCAGCCTTTTGCATTACTTGTATAGAATTATTCTTGCCTCCAGCTCTAATGTTAAAAATCTTGGTGTTATTTTTGATCAGGACATGTCTTTTATCCCTCACAATAAAAACGTTACTAGAACCATCTTCTTCCACCTGCGTAATATCGCTAAAATTAGAAACATCTTATCTAAAAATGATGCAGAAAAATTGGTTCATGCATTTGTCACATCTAGACTGAACTATTGTTATCTGGGTGTCCAAAAACTTATTTAAAAAGTCTTCAGTTGATCCAAAATGCTGCTGCCAGAGTCTTAACTGGAGTTAGTGGGAGAGATCATATCTCTCCAGTTTTAGCTTCTCTCCATTGGCTCACTGTCAAATCCAGAATTGAATTCAAAATCTTACTTCTAACCTACAAAGCTCTCAACAACCTAGCTCCATCTTATTGTTCCATATTTTCCTAACAGAGCACTTCGCTCTCAGACTGCAGACTTACTTGCAGTCCCTAGTGTTTCCAAAAGTAGAATGGGAGGAAGATCTTTCAGTTATCAGGCTCCTCTCTTGTGGAACCAACTTCCAGTTTCTGTCTGTAAAGCTGACTTTCCTTTTGAAAATTCTAGAATTAGGGTCGGCTTGTTATGCTGCCTTAAGCTTAGACTACTAGAGGACAGGCCCTGTGATGGACTTGCGACCCGTCCAGGGTGTACCCCGCCCCTCGCACAGTGATTGCTGGACATGGGCACCAGCGACCCCCGTGACCCAAAATGGAACAAACGGGTAAAGATAATGGATGGATGGATGGATACTAGAGGACAAATTGACCTCATTTCCTTAAATAATTTGCTAAAACGGAAAAGTTTTCATTTGATACTATTTCTATCTTAACATGTGATTCTTGACCTGCCATTGTGTATCTGTTCCTACCAAACCCAGTCGGTCAAAGCAGATGGCCGCTTGTCCTGAGTCCATCCATCCATTTTCTTTACCCGCTTATTCCATTTTGGGTCACGGGGGTCGCTGGTGCCCATGTCCAGCAATCACTGTGAGAGGGGCGGGGTACACCCTGGACAGATCGCAAGTCCATCACAGAGACACATAGAGACAAACGCGACAAACAAACATTCACTTTCTCACTCACACCCAGGGACAATCCAGAGTTACCAATCAGGCTAACATGCATGTTTTTGGTCTGTGGGAGGAAACCGGAGTACCCGGAGAAAACTCACGCATGCACGGAGAGAACATGCAAACTCCATCCAGAAAGGCACCTGGACCAGGATTTGAACTGGGGACCTGCTCGCTGAGAGGCAGCAGCTCTACCAATTGCACCACCGTGCTGCCCTGTCCTGAGTCTGGTTCTGTTAAAGGTTTCTTCCTCATGAGGGAGTTTTTCCTTTCCACTGTCGCCTTCATGTTTGCTCAAGATGAGAATTCTGTGATGGAGTTAAATTCCAAGCAGTCTACTCCTAAGATAAATAATGTTAAACTATTACTTTTTATGAACATTTTTGTTAACTTATTATTTTTATATGAATGTTTCTGTTCAGTGCCCTAAGATGACTCCTGTTGTGACTTGGTACTATATAAATAAACTGAATTGAATTGAATTAAAAAAACAAAACAATTATCTATCCTCTAGCTATTTATCCACTTATCTATGGAGTTGCTACAGGCTATATTTATACACTAAAAGCACAAAATCACACAATATATTCTCCATTTTCATTGACAAAGCAACATTGTTTTCTGTGTAAACAAAATGCACAAAATTGCAAGCAAAATTTTGATTTTTGAATTGAATTTTGCACACTTACATAAGTTCCCTCGCAGAAAAGAAGTTACAAATACCAAGTTTAAAGTCAAAGGAGTGGATATATATTTTCCACAAATCGCATTGAAATAAAATGTCAATATTTCGTGTATGCAGGAAAAATTACATTTTTTGGTCCGAGCTGCATAAAGAGCTTGTCATGCACTACTACTCCGAGCCTGCAGGGGGCGATGATGATTTCCGCTCTGCCTTGAAACGACAATAGTTCCTTTCGCTAAAGTTGCTCCTACGTTGGCGCCAGATGAGCTGTGGCGGCAGCGATTCGCACAGATCGAGGAAGAAAGATCGAGGCTCACCCACTTCAGCTTGCATTCCGTTCATAACCCCTAGTTTAAAGAAAATCGATTTCTCATTTTCTTTTTTTAACCATTTATAAAGAACAAAGATAGAAAGGTGGGTATGTGCACGCCACGATTTATGATATATTCAAGACTGATGTGATCCTTAATCCCATCGTTTAATGCAACATAGTATTTAGCATTGAGTCTGATGAACGGCGGGTAATATTGTAACCTTATTGTTTATAAAGATGCATGGATTGACTATATTTTTGTCAACATGTCCTTGCTTTATGATGGAAAAATATAGGCCTCGATCCGCACTATCTGTAAGTCGGTGTGCAATTTAAAGCAGACAAGCTCAGCAGCTCGTGATTGGTAAAATTTGATCTTTAAAGTGTTTTTTCAGAGTAAAAGCTTTTTGAATGCACGTTTGTTGATGAACTGACCCATTTCACGGGGGGACGGTCCGCTTTGTCTTTTAAAATGTATTATGTTTAACGCAGTTAAAGTGGGTGTTTTTTAAACTACGTTTCCGCTAAGAGTGTTCGATCGGCATCAGTGGTCGGAGGCTTTAGCCAGGCTAACAAACTGGATTAGCCGGATCGTTAGCCGTGCTATGTAGCATAGACACGCTAACGCAGCCGCTAACGCAGCGCCATTGAAGTGTGTCTTTTCTGGCGCTGCCGCATTGAAGAGGGATTGTAGCCCAGATCTGTCTAGTCCTCTAATACAACGGTTCCAACAACCAGCTTTTAGTGATTTTTGTTTGATCAACGTGTTTGAGCTGTTATCTGCTGTGTTTTTTTTGTTTGTGAGTGAGTATCAGCCGCTCCTTTCCCGGGTTTTCCGCTCGCCATCTTCTTCCCAGTTAGCCATCTTTGTTTCAGCTAGCCAGCTCCCGAACAAGGCTGCCAGTGCCTCTTAGCTTGCTAAATCTAACATTTTGGTTGTCTGTTGATCATCGTTACAAGGTAATATTTATTTTAATCGTCTCCGTGGTTTCTGGAGTACAGTTGGCTTCGTTTGTGGTATGCTTGATGCTCCCTTTCGTTGTTTAAATACATCGTGAACGATGAACGCTAAGCGTGGCTAACGTTAGCAAGTGGCAGCCATCTTAAGTGCTGGTGTGGCACAACAAGATGGCCTGTTAATAATCGCTGGGAGAATTTCCGTGTCAATCGTCGTCTTTGGTTGCACTGGCATACGTGATTAAACCACTGCTGTTATAGTGAGTATTAATAGCTATCTATAACCCTATTTCAAATACGTATGCGATGGCTTTTGCTCGTTGAGCTAGTTAGCTGGCTAAATTGTGGACAAATTAGCGGCTAACACAATGCTATTTGTCGTTAACCAGTCTCCAAGCGACCGTAGCCAGCTAACTAGCGGCTATGAATGCTATTTGTTGCTGCTTTGGAAGGCTAGCGATTATCAGGTTGCTGCCTGATACCCCAAAATGTACTCGTTTTATAGGTCCTATAGTTTTAAGAGTTGTATCAAATTTAAGGCTGAACTGCGCAGTAAAGTTTTGCGTGACTCGGCTGGACAACGGTTTTCGGATTAAGTTAGAATATAGGCTGTGTGGTTCACACAGCTGTCATTTGATTTTGCTAATAGAGTGAAGCTTGTCTTGTACCACAAAGTAGTTAGCAAAACACTCACTACTTGGTGGGAACGTTTATTGGAATATGAATCCTTGGACGTGAATGAATTTCTTGTTAAACCACATTTACTATTTTATCAAATCCACTACAAGTTTTATAGCCCCATCTCAGCCCCACCATTAATGCGGATTATGTGCATTTGTATCTTTAATGTGTAGTCCCATCTCAAGCCTCAGCTTGTGGGTTTGAAGTTGTCTTTATTCGATAAGACAACCTAACTTAATTCTGTAAAATCATTTTGTGTGAACGCCTGAATAGAAATAATCTGAGGCGTTTCAGTCATGGTTTAGAGCTCATCATAGCACAGAAATGTCACTGGTGAAGTTACTAATTATATTCATGGCCTCAGACAATGGACTTGTGCTTGTAATGGTCTTGTTAGACCTCAGTTCTGCATTTGATACAGCTGATCACAATGTTCTACTACAGAGTCTTGAATATGGTATCGGAATTACATGAACAGCTCTTAAATAGTTTAAATCATATTTATTTGATGGATTCCAGTTTGTAAATGATTCTTCTTTGTACATCAAACTTATGGCATGAAGTGCCATAAGTTATTAAACAGCATGGGATAAATTTTCATTGTTATGCTGATGATACTCTTATATTTATCCATGAAACCCAATTAATCCAATCAGTTGCTTAGATTACAAGCATGTCTCAAAGACATAAAAACATGGATGATCATACATTTTCTGCTTTTAAACTCGGACAAAAAAAAGAGTTGTGGTTTTTGATGATTATCAAAAAATGATGCAGAAAAAGTGGCCCAAACGTTTGTTGTGCCTATGCTGGACTATTGCAATTGTTTATTATCTGGGTGTCCAAAAAATTATTTAAGAAGTCTTCAGTTGATCTAAAATGCTGCTGTCCGGTGTCTTGAGAGTAGGTGAGATCGTATTGCTCCAGTTTTAGTTTCAACAACGTAGCTCCATCTTATATTGCAGATCTTATTGTTCCATATTTTTTCTAACTGAGCACTTTGCTCTTAAACTGCAGGTTTACTTGTGGTTCCTAGAGCTTCCAAAAGTAGAATGGCAAGCAGAGCTTTCAGTTATCATTCTCCTCTGTTGTGGAACAAATTTCCAGTAACTGTCCTCTTATGCTGCTGGAGGACAAGTTGACTACATTTCCTCACTCTGCAGCCGTCTTTACTTGCTCAACTTCTGCTTGTATTCGTAATTATTTTTATCTTGTAACGTGTTTTTGTTTCTCTCTTCCTATAGAAAGTACACCTGGACCAACCATTCTTTCTTTGTTTTTCCTTCCTGTCCTCTCTAGAAATGCACCAATAACGGTATCGGTCCTGATATCGGGGAAATACACTTCTGGATCGGGTATCGGTGACAATGTGACCGATCCATGACTGGGCAGATCTATTCACTCTAATTCTATGCTTTCTGCTCTTGAGTGACGTCACGCGCTAGCGAACTCGCCACATAGATTGTTTTCAAAATGGAGCGAGCGAAAGGATCAGCCATTTGGAACAATTTCACACTACCTCAGCCAACACATTCAACATCTACGTGCAATACGTGCGCAGTGACGGTTCCAAGGGGTGGCACTAAAACTTCCAGCTATAACACCACCAACTTAATCAAGCATCGGTATCGGAAGGGAAAAAGGTGGATCGGTGCAGCCCTGGTCCTCTCAAACCCCAGCCGTTTGAAGCAGATGACCGCTCTTCCTGAGCCTGATTTTGCTGGATGTTTCTTCCTGTTAAAAGGGAGTTTTTCCTTTCCACTGTTGCCTTTTTGCTCGCTCAGGATGAGAGACTGCGACGAAGTGAAGATTCCATGCATTCTCCTGACTCCTAACTTTTACTAATTGGCTTTGATAATGTACCGGTATGTAAATGTTTTTGTACAGTGCCCTGAGACGACTGAAACAGAATTTAATTTATCTCAAAAATCTGATTTCTGTCCCATCATAGGTACACAGTGGAACTTTATCGCAGGTCCTTCCTCCCCGCAGCTGTTAAACTTTATAACAATCACCGATCGCAACAAATTAAAAGTGTTTACTTCTCTGCACAGTTGCACTGTTTTTCCATTTCTTGGACATAGTGTGTTGTTTCCTTTTACGTGCAACAACACACATGCACATTTTGTACATTCTTTAAATTATCCTGCTCAGTTCACATCTCTTGAACCTGGATATTCTATTTTTAATGACTGCACAGTATTTTCATATGCTGTAAATATGCCCTTACTGTACAGCATGGATTATAAAGTTCTCAGTCACTGCAACAGATTTTCCATCATTTTGAATGTGGCCAGGACGGATTTCCGTCATTGTAAAAATGAGGACTATTAAAAAAAAAAACGTGTTTTGTTGTCATCTTGTTAAAGCCGTCCAATTAGATGCTGATACAGGATTTAAACTGTTGCCAGAACTGATACACCATCACCACCACCCCTCTCTCTCCTGTGACCTGACCTCCCCGAGACTTTTGTATCTAAAATCTTAACTTTGTATTAACTGTGTTCGGAGCTTCTTCATCATTCTACAGACATGTGACCTGTGCACACGACCAAACTCCAGGTCAGAGAGAGTGACGTGCAGCGTGAGCACGCTGCCGGTTGAGTTTCTTTCACTGTGAGAGAGGCTGTTTGTCCAGTATTTGTTTAGAAAATATTAGAGCTAAAAGACGAACATTAATATGCCCCAGATTATACCAGAGATAAGTGTCTCCATTTAACTTTAGCTAAAGTCCTGTAAATATAAACCCTTTCAATGAAATAACAATTTTAGGGTAGAAATGCCAGTCTAGACAAGAAATAAGTTGATTTATGTTCTGCAAAAGACTTCCTGTGCTTTATTTTATTTTTTTAATATATCAACCCGGCCTCAACTGCAATGATAGTAACCTACAGAAAAGTTGTTAAAACCCCTCTCTTCCTTCAGAATGCTGTTGGTCTTGATGCAGGTTAACGTCTTCCTACAACTTGGAGAACACTACTGTGTATCTAACAAGGTTGAGTCAGGTCCACTGGACGGATTCTTCTTTGTTGAAACCTTTTTGTCTTTTAACCAAAAGACTTCTTCAGTCTGAGATCAGACTTGGAAGGTCCCCGGACCCACGCTTGCCTCCACTCTAATTTGCCCACAGAGGGCCCTTGAGCAAGCCTTTAACCCTCCTATCATCTGCTCCCCTGGGCACCCAGATGGCAACTCTGTTCCACGCAGAGTAACCCACAGCAGTTGGGTACCCCTAGGGTTAGAAAAAAAATTCAGTCAAATTATTTTTTCCCTACTTTAATCCATGTGTACCACATTCTCAATCATATTCTGTTTTTATATTGTTGTACCTTTGTGTGAATCTGCATTGTTTGATTTACCTGACACTTTGCTGCTGGTACACCTGAATTTCCCCACTGAGGAGCAATAAAGTCATGTCTATTCTATGTGTATTAGTTGCTTTAATGATTGAATATTTGCTGTTTTTCAGAGTGTATTAGAATCAAGATTATACAGCTTCCTTTTTAAGTGAACTGCATGTTTTTGGCTAATATTGTCTAGTTGTTGACATGGTACTGTAGATGAGAGCTGGAAATCACAAAATACTGTTGTGTGTGTTTTACTAAACCAATTTATACTCTTCGTGTTCAACTGTATGTGAGATTAAAACATCAATATTCTGTTTTAAAAAATAATGTCCCCATAAAATTTTGCTAACTTGTGAAGCTTGCATTTTTGAGTGTCCCATCCTGATCCCCGAGGGCCACTGTCCTGCTCCAACACACCTGCTGGTTGAATTGCCTTTTTGTGTTCTATAGAACCCTGTTAAACACCCACTGATTCAAATCAGGTGTGCTGGATCAGAGAAAGCTCTAGAACATGCAAGATTGTGGCTCTCAGAATCAGGCTTGGACACTCCTAGTGTAAACATTTCATGGGCGTGTTGGATTGCTGATTTAGCTGGTACAACCTTAGTATTTATGCTTTATGTAGCACACTGATGTTTCTTTTCTTTTTACAGGTCTGCTTACTATCTCTAGGGTGACAGAAGCAAGGAAAAGAGCCCAAAACCATACCCCCCCATTTCTTTTTTGTTTGTTTCTCATCCGGCAAGAAAACGGAGGCCGTAGGGCTGGAGTGTGTTCTTATGGCCGAGTCAGAGACTGAATGTGACACGCCCGGGCTTGACACGCTTGGGTCGGAGTGTGTCATAGCCCATAGCCATGTCGACCTTCACTATGGAGCTGAAACTGAGATCATGACAGAGGAAAAGCGTGGGTTGGAGCTGGAGATCCATGGCTCAGACCTAAAGATTCAGGGGCTGGGAACAGAACTCGGTGCTGTGGCTTGTGTTGATGCAATTGTAGCGGAGACTGACCATGATTATATTAAAGTGGAACATAGTGATATTCACTGTTTCACGGCAGCAGAAATCAAGCAGTCAGGAACCGAGACTCTTCTGGGAGAGGTGCTGCTTAGGACAGAAGGCGAGCATGTTGTTAAAATGGAGTCTGATCACGGCGGGGAGCTAACAATTGAGTCTGAGAATGGTGTAATCATACACGAAGCACATGGCCTACAGTGCAACGAGTGTGGTGAGATTTTTGGCAGCATAGCTGATCTTCACCAACACTTTGAGATCCACAAAGACCTCAATCCTTACATTTGTATTCACTGTGGTGAGAGTTTTGCTGTAGAGGCCAGCCTTAAGCAGCACATGAAAATTCACATGAAAGAAAAACCCTATGCTCCCCCTGGGGTAGAAATCATGGGCAAAGATGTCATTGAGGCCTACAGCCTCAAGTCCCATCAGATGATTAATTTGCCAGACAAACCGCACAGATGCTCGGAGTGCGGAAAGAGCTTCGCCGCAGCCATTACACTGAGAGAACACATGAAGATGCATTCTGAAGACAAGCCGTACAAATGCACCCAATGCAGGAAGAGCTTTGTCCGCAGAAGGCATTTGAAGAAGCACCAAGAGGTCCATGCACGTGAAAAGCCATATACATGCGGCCAGTGTGGCAAAGGCTTTGCTACAACTTCCAACCTGAAGCAGCACCAGAAGACCCATGCCACTATTGTTCTAGGAGAGAAACCCCACCAGTGCATTCAGTGTGGGAAGTGTTTTGCTACTGCTGCCACTCTCAGAGAGCACCAGAGGATCCACTCGAGTGAAAAGCCATACAAATGCAATATGTGCAGAAAGAGTTTTGTCCGCAAGCGCCATCTAAAGAAGCATCAGCAAGTCCACGCTGGAGGCAAACCCTACACCTGCAGACATTGCAACAAGGGCTTCAACCACTCCTCGTCTCTGTCGCGCCATAACAAGACCCACCTGCAGAATCCGGTGTTTTCTCAACCCCAGCCCGGAAAAACCTTGTCTTACGGCACTCCCCAAAAGCAGAGAGTACATCAGGAAGGAGAGAAACCTTACATGTGCAACCACTGCGAGAAGGGGTTCAATCATTCCTCTTCATTGTCACGGCACCAACGAGTCCACTCGGATGGAAACAGATGGACTTACACCTGTGGTCACTGTGGTAAAAGATTCAATCAATCTTCGTCTCTTGTAAGGCACCAGAGAATTCACTTGGAGAATAAACCACAGCAGCCACAACTACCACAGCCAACCCCACAGACACCACCACAGCAGTACAGTCCCATCCCTATCCCGTCACCAAAGGTTTTCCCTAACAATGCCTTCCCAAAGCAGCATATCCTTTCTGTCGAAAAACCATACAGGTGCTCTCAGTGTGGAAAAGGCTTTAACCATTCATCTTCTCTCTCCAGGCATCATAGGATTCATGTACCGGTAGAAGATCAGTGAGCAGTCACCCCCCCCCCCCCCTCGCCGTGCAACATCCCTAATGCCCGAACTTGTTTGTTTTGCAGATCATTTTTTTCATCTGCATCACCAGAACGTAAAATGTCAGGCCGACCTACTGACAAGAGGTCATGTCGGCGCTTTATTTGAGTCTAATTGACAGTAATGCAGAAGTCTTCAAAAGGAAAAGTCCAACCCTGTAATGAACTTAGTGAAATACGTTTAAGAACAGAACCTAGAGCTTTATGCTCAGTTTCAACAAAGTTCAGTTGCATATTGTGAAGGAATCGATTCTTGTCATTCAAATTCAGGACCTCCAGAACTCTTTTAAAGATATACACGATAAAATTGTAACTTGGTAAATATGCTTCATCCTGTTTTTTGATAAAATAATTCTGTTAATCTCAGTGGTGTTTATTTTTGCTTTACATCTCCTCACTATTCAAGTCTACATAAAGTTTGGACAAGAACTTTGTCTTCAGTTTGAATATTTATTTCCACTTACATAGCCCACGTGAAACCAATATCAAAAATCCAATGTAAATACTTGATTTTCTTTATATATACATATATATAAATAAATAGGTGACTAGTGTGCTGTTCCAAAAGATGACATTTTTGATAGTAAGATTCACTTCGTCTTCACTTTATTTTGCCCTTTTCACTATTTTGTTCCAGGTGTTGGAGGTGAGAAGAATCAAAACAAAATGATTGCAGATTGTTTTTCAAAACTGGTCTCCATAATCCACGAGCCGACTTGTATATTTATGAGGTTGGATTTTGTACGTCCACGATTTCTCACAGTTCTGAGTTGTACAGAGCGATTCCGGCTGATACCCTGACTCTAATGACATGCAACTTAGCCATTAGTCGACGTCTGTTAGAAAATAAAAACCTTCTTGATAGCATATTACAACATGAACCGTGTCCTAATTATTTACCACATTGTTTCAGCTACACTCAAGTTCCAAATGTACATGATATACTTTATTGCTTTAGAGACTAATTGTGTATAGAATATTGGTAACCCTTGTTCGTCTGCAGACTTATCACCATTTGATCCAAAATAAGAACAAGGCTGTGTATATTAAGGCTACAACAGAAAATACTTTTCCAGGATTTTTCCCAGGTCTGACAGATTGCGCTCTTATTTACTGTTTTGTGTAAAATATCTTTTACAAACTAATGTATTTTTTTAAACATGGCTTGGGTTATATGAAAGGGAATGCGACTGTTTTATGAGAGTGAGCAATATTTTCGTTTTGTTTGGAAAACAGTTGCGTGTCCGACTGTAGCATAGTTCTCTTCCCTGTTAGATAGGTGCCTTACTGCATGCGAAGTAGAAATGTATGCTGAGTTATTTGAGAAAAGTTCATTCGTTCAACCTTTTATTTAGACAGGTTAATCCCGTTGAGCCTCGAGGCCTCATTTACAAGAGAGACCTGATTAAAGTTAGGGTTTTCAGGAGATTTTAGTTATGTTAATTTACCCAACCTTTTAATTTTGTCACTCATAAGTTTGCTTTTATTGCTTTAATGTATATTCCCATGTGTTTACACTGTTACAACTGTTTTTTCCCCACCCCCCCTTTTTTTTTTGTTAATAGCCTCATTGTAGAGAAAAAATGTAAAAGATCCATATAGACTTCTCAAGACTTGTCCTTAAGAGAATGGGTGGCACATATATGGATAAATAAAGGTTGTTGACTCTCTGCTGGTGTAATCAATGGCTTTATGACGTGGTCAAAGCTTGTTTTAGAGATCTTGTTAAATCAAGTAGATTAAGATGAACATGGCACAAAAAAATTCTCATGCTTGGAATTTCATAGCCTGTCCACATGGTGTCGCCGTACACTGGCGACTACTGCAGAGAAGAGTTCAGTTACTGCTGAGTAAATTCAGTTTTGGCAAAGTTTCTTAGCTGGACATGGGCCAGTGGTGTACTTTACATTTTTGTGGTGGCTATACTGTGCTTCGAAACCAAAAGTATACCCGTTAGTGCGATGTAATCGTCAATTTATATTGATTTTTAGACATTGATATTGAACTTTTCCAAATTTCTCTACAACAAACTATAACAGAATTTCTAAAATGGTATCGAAGCAAAACATGTTTAACTACTAAATACAGAAGTATACAATAATTTGCTGGATATGCAAATGTAATAAGCGCTGGAAGCGTTTTAACGTGTCAAGAGACATGCTTAATATGTATCGCTGGGTACTTTTACGTGGGTATACTGAAATTCTCAAGCTTCTTTGTGGGTACTCTGTATGACCTTGTATCACGTAGACTACACCACTGACATGGGCACCTGTGACGAAAAGGAAGAAGCATAGGTAAAGATGATGGATGGTCATTTTATAATGTGTAGCCTTCACCTGTTATTACTAGTACTCTAGCATTGAGTATTTTCTGTTTCTACAGGGTACCCTTACTGACTGGAGTATGCATGTTGTGAGCATGAACTTTGAAAAGTACAAACCGGATTCCAAAAAAGTTGGGACACTAAACAAATTGTGAATAAAAACAATGCAGTGATGTGGAGGTGCCAACATCTAATCTTTAATTCAGAATACCATACCACTTTATTTATAGAGCACTTAAAACAGGGACAAGGCCAACTAAAGTGCTGTACAGACAAAACAAGTAACACCGAGCAAAATACAAAATGAGGTAAATCAGAATATAGACATAAAAACGATGCAGATAATGACGACAAACCAGTGTGGAGCATACAGGATCAAAACACAGATCATTGGTGTTGAAAGCTACTGAATAGAACATAAATCACAGATCAAAAGTTTAAACAATGTATCATTGTAAGGGAAAATTCTGTTGTTTCCAAATTTCATGGCATCAACAAATCCCAAAAAAGTTGGGACAAGTCCATTTTTACCACTGTGTGGCATCCCCCCTTCTTACAACACTCAACAGACGTCTGGGGACAGAGGAGACCAGTTTCTCAAGTTTATAAATAGGAATGCTCTCCCATTCATGTCTAATACAGGCCTCTAACTGTTCAATCGTCTTGGGCCTTCTTTGTCGCACCTTCCTCTTTATGATGCGCCAAATGTTCTCTAGAGGTGAAAGACATGGACTGCAGGCTGGCCATTTCAGTACCCGGATCCTTCTCCTACGTAGCCATGATGTTGTGATTGCTGCAGAATGTGGTCTGGCATTATCGTGTTGAAAAATGCAGGGTCTTCCCTGAAAGAGATGACGTCTAGATGGGAGCATATGTTGTTCTAGAACCTGAACATAGTTCTCTGCATTAATGGTGCCTTTCCAGACATGCAAGCTGCCCATGCCACAAGTGCTCATGCAACCCCATACCATCAGTGATGCAGGCTTCTGAACGGAGCGTTGATAACAACTTGGGCTATCCTTGTCCTCTCTGGTCCGGATGACATGGCGTCCCAGTGTTTCATAAAGAACTTCAAATCGTGACTCATCTGACCACAGAACAGTCTTCCATTTTGCCACACTCCATTTTAAATGACCCCTGGCTCAGTGCAAACATCTGAGCTTGTGGAGCTTGCTTAGAAATGGCTTCCTCTTTGCACTGTAGAGTTTCAGCTGGCAACGGCGGATGGCATGGTGGATTGTGTTCACTGACAATGCTTTCTGGAAGTATTCCTGAGCCCATTCTGTTTTTTCCTTGACAGTGGCATTCCTGTTTGAGGTGCAGTGACGTTTAAGGGCCCGGAGATCACGAGCATCCAGTAGAGTTTTACAGCCTTGACCCTTACGCACAGCGATTGTTCCAGATTCTCTGAATCTTTTGATGATGTTATGCACGGTTGATGATGATAACTTAAAAGTCTTTGCTCTTTTACGCTGGGTAACACCATTCTGGTATTGCTGCACTATCTTTCTGCGCAACAATGGTGGAATTGGTGATCCTCTTACCATCTTGGCTTCTGAGAGACACTGACACTCTGAGAAGCTCTTTTTATACCCAATCATGTTGTCAGTTGACCTAATTAGTGTTAATTGGTCTTCCAGCTGTTCATTATATGCTCAATTTCCTTTTTCCAGCCACTTATTGCTACTTGTCCCAACTTTTTTGGGATTTGTTGACACTGTGAAATTTTGAAACAACATATTTTTCCTTTAAAATGTTAAATTTACTCAGATTAAAATTTTGATCTGTCATCTATGTTATATTACAAATAAAATATTGACATTTGCCATCTCCACATCATTGCATTCAGTTTTTATTCACAATTTGTTTAATGTCCCAACTTTTTTGGAATCTGGTTTGTAAGTGAGGTACCATCTTCTAGGTGTATCACATATTTACATCATTTGAGGAAACTGCTTTGTAGATCTTATATTGCTTTAAAATAAAGTTCAAATGATTCAGGTGACCAAAGGTTATTCTGTTGTGGCCAAGGCCATCATTGGCCATCCCCTGCATAGCTCCAACATTAGGCCTTGTGGAAATTAAAACTGCTCTTCAGGATCCATCACATTCTATGGAATCCCATTTCTCTCATGAAAGAAAAAAGCCCAACAGGAAGTCTTGATTACGAGAATAAAAGTAATAATTTTGAGTTTATAACTATGAGAATAAATGTCATAATTTCGACTTTTTTAATTTAATTTTTAAGTTTGTCCCTTGCCAAAACTACAGGGACGCAACTTCCTGTCAGACACTGGTAGTTTTCTTACATAGCACATGTATTGAGTAGGACTACTTGGATGGATTAATTCATTCAATGTATGTCCCTCTGCCTTCAAACAGCAATCCATTTAAACAAAGGTATGTAATGTATACATCTTTTCATCGTCTATATATCATTTAGTATTGAAACCCATTTCCACTATGAAATAAAAGCCCAACAGGAAGTCATAATTGAGTTTTAAAGTCATAGTTACGAGAACAAAAGTCATAATTATGACTTATTCACGTAATTATGATTTTAAAACTCATAATTATGACTTTTATTCTCGTAATTAAGACTTTAAAAATTGAAATTATGACTTCCTGTTGGGCTTTTGTTTTTTCCTTTCATGGCTGAAATGGGCTTCCATACATTGCAGTACCTCAGACAAGCAAAAACAAAATAATCTGTGTTCTTATATACAGTTTAACTCATACCCACTTGAATATTTTACACCAAAAACATTAAGGTTTGCTTGCATTCCCTGTTCATTTCCAGTCAAGAAAAACACTCATCTCTACAACTGCAAACATTCACTATTGAATGCATGAACTTTATTTAAAAAGGGGACAATGTACAACTCAAACATAAATGTCACCATTTATTGTCCTGTACCAGATTATAGCAAAAGCTAGTTCGCATCTGCAGTCCCAAAGGTATTCAAATACCTCACTGGCGTGGACATCGGCGTACCGCTTGTTAGTAGCTGATGTTATACAATAAAATTATTAGGGATGCTAGAGTACTTACTGTCATCTCTGAATGGGATTTTTGCCATTTAAGACACAAAGTTTTGAGTGTTTTGTGTGACTGAAATATTTCTGGAAACCAAGACTGATGTCCAGCTGGACTGATATCTATTGAAGCTGACATGGATCCACCTTTAATGACTTATCCAAAAATATGTTCTCAGCTCTCTGGATGCAGAGCAGTGCTTTGGTTTGTATCTATTTTGAGGACAATGTTTTTCTGGGTGTATTTTGCATGCCCTTTCTGTGGGTTTTATAAAGACGCTCTGGTTTCCTCCCACAGATCTAAAACTTGCATGTAGATCAATTGGTAATTCTAAATTGTCTTTAAACTATGAATAAATACATTTAACACATTATATGCTGTAAAATGTCTTGAGTGTTACAGTTAAACCCACAACCTTTCATGCCAGAGTTTTAGGCTAAGATTTATGATTTAATGTTCAGAAATTACAGTTTTGGTCAAGCAGAAAAATATGCAATCCTCATTCATGCTCAATAATCCAGGTAGAAAAATCTAACAAAGTTAAGTCAGGTCTTCAAACGGTTTCTTTTGAAACGTTGTGCATTTCATCCAAAAGTCTTAATTAGTCCGAGGAGCCACAACAAACTGTCTTATAAATAGCATCTTCTCATAGTGGGTGAACCAGTTTGATGGTGCTAAGGTGGTTTCTGTGGTCCTCTCCCCTGCTGACTCGTTTGAGGCAGTCATGTCCAAAGTGGTTCAAAACATCCTGATTCATGCTCAATATCCCAGGTAGAAAACTTATTAATTACATCAGAGTTCATGCTCAATAATCCAGGTATAAAATCCAACAATGTTCAGTCAGGTCATTGGACGGTTTCTTTTTTTGTGCCTTCATCCAGAAGGCTTCATCAGTCTGAAGAAACACCAAACAAGACTTACAAACAAGACATGGACTTTGGTGTTTTGAGCCAGTTTGACAAGACTGTGATGAGGGAGAGGGTGGGCCCCAGAGGCCATCTTAGCACCAACATAATTTTTCTCCCCCCCCCCCCCCCCCCCCCCACACACACACACACGCACACTTAGGAGTAAGCTGTTGGGGGAGAAGCAGTTGTTTGGTGTTTCCTCACTTCTGGATGGAAGGTGAAACATCTCAGCACAAAAAAAGAAACCGTCCAGATGACCTGACTATTAATTACATGTATTGAGCATGAATCAGGATATTTTGAACCACTTTGGCCATGACTGCCTCAAACGAGTCAACGGGGGAGAGGGCGGACTATAGAAACCACCTGAGCACCATCAAACTGGTTGACCCACTATGAGAAGGTTATAAGACTGAGTTTGTTGTGGCTCATCAGACTGATGAAAGACAAAACGTTTCAACAAAAAGAAACCGTCCTGAGGACCTGATTTAACTTTGTTAGACGTGCAATATCTTGCATGGTCTGTTATTAGCTCTTGGGAGTATGTGTTGTGAATGTCTGCTGCCAAATTTTAGCTCAATATCTAAAATTGCTATTGCCGACTTCAAAACTTCAGCTGTGTATATCAGTCCAATGATTACTTTCTGAATGTTTCATTTCAAAATGTTCAGTAGTTTATGAGATTTTCTGTAGTATTACATTGTTGGTAGCCTTAAGTAGTGGGCTATAAATAGTTTTAGACTAAGCTGTAGAACAAATAAAATATGGAGCTCCAGCACGTGGGGAAAAAGACATTGGTGGATATATATAGTTTTATTAGTAATTGCTACAAGTCAAGAAAATGGGACAATCAAACATTATTTGCTGTGTACTTTAATCTTTTAGGCATATTAACGGAGAACACTTGCATTTATACACAAGTATATGAAGGTAAATCTAGCTGAGTACTTAAAAAATTCATTTACAAAGATACATTTTCTCTGTACATATTTACACAGATTGAAGTTGTATGCTGGGATAGGCACCAAACTAGATTCAAGCACGTTTTTTGTTTTTTTTTCTTTCCACTGATCAGATGTGTGAACCATTCCAGCGGGGACCCGTTATACGTTCATCACAGGCGTCAGCTGTAGCAGTGAGCTCTGAGGTCGAATGGTGCTGCTCTTCGAATGCAGTTTCTCCAGGTTTTGCAAAAAGCCCCTTCTCTTGAGACCTTCAAGGATGACAGTGTTGCTGGAAGCAAGACTGACACGGGTCCTGTGGAGATGGGGGAGGCAAAATACACCACTTAAAAACTTATGACACTCCATTCCACCACCTAAACGCCCAGGTGCACGTAAAGTTCAGTGGCACAAAAAAGGTCCTTTTCTTCCTCTTAGATTTTTAAATGAGTATTTAAGTGCTGCTCAGCAATTACACATAATTATAAGAAATGACTCCCTTCTGTCCAAACACTGGATGCTATAATTGACCACAAGGTGTTTTTTCAGCTTTATTGCAATTTACCTTAAAAGTTAAAAACGCATTTTGGGAGTGAGGCCAACCATAGACATGTAACCCCAAGGTTAACAAACCTCAACACTGCTGAAAGCCACTTCAGAAATGTAGGGCGATACGGTCGTGTGTGGGCGAACAGCAGAAGAGGTGTGTATTACCCAATACATCTAGTAGTTTTTACAAGATCAAAAGTGTTTTAAAAACTATTCCATCTTACAGACAGAAAGAAAGTGACTCACCGAGGGGAATCTATCCCACTGTCTCCTGTGATGCTCCGGTTTTCTACAGTCTCTTCTGCTTTTCTGGCTCCACTGGTTACTTTCTGAACGGACTTGTGGCCCTGAGGGAGAGCCTTTTCATCAAACTCATCCTCCTGTCCTGCATCGGCAGCCCAGTGCGCACTTTCACCGTCGCCTTCGTCAGCCGACTTGCGGACAGTCTCAGAGTCCGATTCAACCTCACTAGCCTGGCAGTAGTCAAAGATGCTGCTGTCTGCAGCTTCGCATGCCCCAGAAGCATCTACATCTTGGACAGAATCATGCTGTTTGTCCCCCTGGATCAATGAAGTCCTCACACTGCTTGGTTCACTTTGTGTGGCTGGTGGTTTACTAGTTCTTAGGCGATGCCGTCTCCAGATAACCTCTGGTCTTGTGGAGTTGAGGGAAGCCTCCCTCACAGATGTAGGGGGAAACGGATCCTTTGAATCACTGTCCAATGAGTTTTGCACGAAGGCAACTTCAGACTGCTGAAAGGTGGCTTTATAATAGTGACTGTGAAGTCCCAATTGTTGCGTATTCATAGATTCATACCTAACCATTTGGTGAGTGTGATTGTTTGCTACACCAGTTTGGTAATCATTTGCATCATCAGCAATCTCATCACTATGCAGATACAAAGAGCTACAGGCATCATCGTCCAGCTCTGTTGGTCTCTGATAGAGATTATAGTCATCTTCTATAAAACCTTCACTGCTCGTTATTGAGGGCATGTTTTCAGGAGTCAGTTGTGGCCGTTCTTCAAGGCTAGGGTTACTGATTGCTCTAATTTCCTGTTGGTCATTGGTAGGTGTAGTCTCATCAAGCTCATGTTGATTGAGGAGTCTGAGAGAATGTTTGCGCTGTAAAGAGGGCTTGGGCCATGGAGGATTTGGGTCATAGGAGTGATTTATGATGTGCTCATAAGGATGAGCAGAGGAAACACCAATCCTACTGGAGTATTGCTGGATAGCAGGGCCAGCATCATTGATTTGATTTTGGTCTGGTACATTTTTGTACTCCTGTATGTTCCCATTTTTGCTTTTTCTCTCCCAATTCACGTTGCCATTTTCTTCACCCTGATGTCGAACTTTGTCATCCATTCGGAGCGTGCTACCTTGTAAGTAAGCTGAGCTGTAGTCCATAGACAGCTCTTTGTTGAGCTTGTTGTCCTCTTGGACACAGTCGTATCTGCCTTCAGACACGGGGACTTTTAGTGCGTTCTCGACATCTGCTGTCATCAGTTTTGCCCGATGTGGGTCCCAAGATTTGGACCTGTGACTGGTTCGTTCCTTTCTCCCTGACCCAGTGACCTTTCCTTCCTTCACCTCTTGTCTTCTGTGCTCTCTGCTGGTAGAAATGATGTTTTCCGCCTCTTTGATTGGATGAGTCTGGAAAGGATTATCGATGCGTTTCTTATAAAGACATTTTCCCTCGACAGTTCCACCCTCCTCCATTTGGTCTGCTTCATCAAGAAGGATTTCAACTTTGAGTCGAGTTGGAATCAAATCCTCCCCATCTGGGGAAACGTCTGCACATATGGGGGCCTTACTCTTCTCCCTTTCCTTCTCCCTTTCCCTTTGCTTCCCTCTTGATGAGTGAACCCTTCTCTTGATGCGAGAAGTCTTCTGAAAGGATTTTTTCCCTCCTCCCCCTCCTTTAGACAAATGGTGATGCCTGTGTTTTGAGAATGTTAGGGCGTCAGTTGACATTCCCTTGTCGACTCCCTTATCATCTTTATCCAGACCCCTATCAAACGCCCTGTCGACCCCCCTTTCCCTCCTCTCTTCCAGCTTCTTCATTAGAACCGTGTGCCGTGTCAGGTTGTCCACAGTCAGTTCAGGGTTGATGCGTTTGATAATGGCGTGCTCCAGGTCACGAGGCAAGTTGTTTAAGTCATCCTCGTCTCTTACAGGCCACTCCTCAGGAGGAAACTGACCTGAAAATGATGCGTACTCCTTCTTCGGCTTTTCCTTTTTACCTCCATTTCTCCTGAACAAGCTGAGACCGAACTTCCTTCCGGGTTTGTTGTCTTTTTCTTTCCGGCCTGTGGCGTTAGTAGTAGCGGTTGTTTTGCTGATCTCGCTCGCCTGACAGTCTGCTGCGGTGGAGGTGGACTGATGCTGCACCGTGGGCTTGTGATCTGATGGCCGGGGCCACTTGAGGCTTTTGCCTGTGCACTCACTTATGGACACAGAGACAGAATGCTGGTCAGGGACAGTGGACGAAGGGACAGTGGCCATTTCGGTTGTGGTATTAGAGGGATTTAGGTTAGGACTAAAACAGCTACATGACTTGCAGTGGGCCACAGGGAGAGCCTGAGAGTTCTCAGCACAGATTTCATTACTCAGAAGGTAAGTAATGGGAGGAGACAAAGGAGGATCATCTGTTGAATCAGAAGTCCACCAGTTCTTCTCTCTAACCAGGTTGTTTGTAATGAAATAAGTCTGAGGGGTAACAATGAAATACCCCTCGCCTGTATGGTAAATCTTGCGCTCTTTGATCAGAGTACCGAGAGCGTTGTAGAGGATGTCCTGAGTGGGGATGGTAATACCTAAGAAATAAAAACAAGGTTTGTTAGAGACAAAAGGTGGCCAAGAAATTAATCAGTGCATACTTTAAAGGCATAAAAGCTGTCAAAATATGCAATTTTCCATGTTTTTGATGTGAAGTTTAAAGCTAACAATTTTTTCACATTTTACAAAAAAAGGCAGGGTACAAGTGTTATAATTCTTAAAGTTCAAGCCTCATTCTGACACAGAGTAAAGTAAAAATAGAATTAAAAGTCTCTAAATAATGTAGAAAAACATGATAGCAGTAGGTTTAAAAAAAAAATGCTAAGGTGAGAAAAGACTAAACGCCAAAGAAATACATCCTAAAAAGGCTAAACTAATACACTATGTTTGGGAAAGGTCAAAGCACTGTAATGTAACAAGGCCAGTTGATTTGGAAGTAGCTAAACTTTGCTCTCATTAGAAACATGTCTTGGAAACGTGTGCAATTAAAACTAAAGGCTCTTAATTGAACATGGGAGTTAAAGACATTTGTAAGTGAGTTACCTGGATGGGCTTTGCTCATGTAATTGATCAGTGCCTCCTGGGTGACGGTGATCTGGGCCGCGTTCATTTCGGAGATGACCGAGCACAGCACCTCGGCTAGGGGTATAAACTGGGACTGAGGAACCGGGGACATCTGCACCGGGGACAGATCACCTGAAACAAACACAGAAGAAGAGGATCGGGTGAAACAGGTGAGCTCGCTCACTTCAGAAAAAATAAACACCTGGATCAACAACTCTCCGACTGGTGCAGCCAGTAAAAACAACTCAAAGCTCCCGTCCTAACCACCTTCTCAATCATGACCGTGGTGGTCTGTTTATGCGACTTCTATGGACCGTGCCTGACTGCTTTTGAAATTCCAGCAGCCCCGAGACAGACCACAGAATTCCATCACCCACAGAAAAGACCACAGGCCTGCCTGCTGTGCAGATCTGATATCCTGCCCCCACTCCCTATATCACACCACGGCACAGGGGTGCCACTTACACAAACATCTTACTGAGAGCCAGAGAAGATGAGAAAAACAGTTAGAAACCCCTCCTGCTTCACTCTACAGTCGTCTTCAGACTTTCAAACAGAACGTAGAAACTTAAAACACGTCACCTTCATGTTTTCCATACCAAAAAACAACATCCTGACATTTTAGAAACCCCACATTTCATGACCAAAAATAATCTGCATGAGTTTCACACATGGAGAAACTTAATTGAAGTAACATGTCGAAGTTATGTCGCACTAAGCATTTTTTTTTTCCTTTTGTCAAAACTTATTGCATGGAACATCCAACCTTAATATTGAGTTGGGCAAAATAGAACATATTTCCTCATTGGGTGGACATAACACTAATTAGTTTGTGTTTTTCTGTTTAGGGACCGAAGATGGTAGCAGAAACAATTTCCTTATGCTAGGAGGCAAAAACTAGATAGACAGAATCCACATCGCACATGATGTTAAGAAATTATTTTGGTCAAACCTAAAAGATGTCATGTATGGGGTGTCATTTATAAAGTTACAAAGTCAAAAATTAACATCAATATTTTGGTTTATTTATTAGCCTTTCAGAAGAAAAAAAAATTTTTTTCAAAGTCACATTTTCACCATGTCATTCATTTATAAATGTCATAGTTCCAAACTAAATATTTAATTTAAAAGCTAAATATTTACTTTACAAACTAAATACATAACTTGCACACTAAATATTTAGTTTACAAACTAAATGTTTATGTCCAAGTTAAATGTTTAATTTAAAAACTGAATGTTTAACTTGCAAGTTAAATATATAGTTAGCAAATTAAATATTTATTTTGGAAATTAAATATTTAGTTTGGAAAATAAATATGTAGGTCAAAGCTAAATATTGAGTTTGTAAATTAAATATTTATGTTGGAAATTAAATGTTTAGCTTTGGAAATAAATATTTAGGTTCAAGCTAAATATTTAGTTAGCAAATTAAATATTTAGTTTAGAAATTAAATGTTTAGTTTGGAAATTAAATGTTCAGTTTGGAAATTAAATATTTAGCTGGGACAATAAGTATTTAGTGTTGATAATAAATATTTAGCTTGGAAATTAAATATTTAATTTACACCTAAATATTTAGTTCACTAACTATAATATAATGGATAACTAAATATTTAACTTGCAAGTTATCTTGAACATAAACAATTAGTTTGTAAACTAAATGTTTAGCGTGGAGCTAAAGATTTAGCTTGGTAACTAAATATTTAACTTGCAAGTTAAGTATTTAAATTGTAAACTAAATATTTTGCTTTTAAGTTAAATATTCAGTTTGGAACTGTGACATTTATAAATGTATGAATGATATGGTTAAAATATGACTGAGAAAAAAACCCCAAGTCTTTTGTTCTTATGAAAGGCTAAATATACCAAAATATTGCTGTTAATTTTTAACTGTAACTTTACAAACGGCACCCCATAGTCATGCAGTGATTAGATCATGCGTTGGCACCAAAGAATTTGCTGGGAATGACTTTCAGCCAGCAGCACAGTGGCGCAACTGGTAGAGCTGCTGCCTCTCAGCGAGCAGGTCCTTGGTTCAAACCCCGGTCCAGGGGCCTTTCTGGGTGGAGTTTGCATGTTCTCTCCATGCAAGCGTGGGTTTTCTCCGGGTGCTCCGGTTTCCTCCCACAGACCAAAAACATGCATGTTAGGCTGATTGGTAACTCTAAATTGTCCCTAGGTGTGAGTGAGAGAGCGAATGGTTGTTTGTCTCGTTTGTCTCTATGTGGCCCTGTGATGGACTTGCGACCCGTCCAGGATGTACCCCGCCCCTCGCACAGTGATTGCTGGACATGGGCACCAGTGACCCCCGTGACCCAAAATGGAATAAACGGGTAAAGATAATGGATGGATGGATGGATGGATGGACTTTCAGCCATGGCAGCAAGGTGGTGCAACTGGTAGAGTTGCTGCCTCTCAGCGAGCAGGTCCCTGGTTCAAACCCCGGTCAGGGACCTTTCTGGGTGGAGTTTGCATGTTCTCTCCGTGCATGCGTGGGTTTTCTCCGGGTACTCCGGTTTCCTCCCACAGACCAAAAACATGCATGTTAGTCTGATTGGTAACTCTAAATTGTCTCTAGGTGTGAGTGAGAGAGTGAATGGTTGTTTGTCTCGTTTGTCTCTAGGTGGCCCTGTGATGGACTTGCGATCTGTCCAGGGTGTACCCCGCCCCTCGCACAGTGATTGCTGGACATGGGCACCAGCGACCCCCGTGACCCAAAATGGAAGAAGCGGGTAAAAGATAATGGATGGATGGAAGGACTTTCATCCACCACAACCCCAGGTTTTTTTTTTGTTTTTTTTTCTAAAATTGACAGCTTTTTCACCATTTTTGTGTTGGTTAAGGTCAAATAGTTGTGGCGGCCCTCTTGAATGCTAAACATTAATCAGTTTATGTTTTTTAGTGATTACTTTCAGAGTCTGATTACAACCCAGCTAGTGGTTCATGGGCTACGTTGCTAATTCTCCAGATAAATGAACACCCAGACATCACATCAAGACATTCATGCAGAAATCCATCACACAAGAAGACTTTGTTTAAAGATTTTATTAGAAATAAACATGTAACTGACTTTGAATACTTTATAAGAGGTCAAAGGTTAAAAAATTGTGCAGTTTGGCAATACATCTATCTTAACCTGCAATTAAAACACACAAGACTGGGTGTCGTAAAGCACCAAAACAAGCCAGACTCTTTGTTAATGAATAATTAGCATGCGGGTTGGCTTACCACAAACAAAGTGAACGCCAAGATACAAGGGCATGCACACAACCTCACCCACAGGACTGGAAAATTGGTTTGAGTTAATCAGCTACAAGGCAGCAATGAGAAATGGAATGAGGTCAAAATAGGGGATGAGCCACAAATGATGCAACTGGAGTGTAAAATTCCTACAGATGCACTCATTAAGATACAGTACATAAGACAGAACTTTAACTTTATTGTTGTTATTGATGTGTCATTTCCTGCATTGAAGTGTATAAGAACTATGAATGTGCGGCTTTAAACTTGACTTAAGACGCACGTCCGTGTGACTGTGAGTGATTCACCCAAGCGCTCCGAGAGCAGTTAACAAAAACACTGTGAGGCTCGCGCTTCATGTAAACTTCAGCCACTTGTGAACAAGGCAGAGAAAAGATACAACTAATCGAGCTAAGACGACACACAGGTACTGACGGATCAGAGCCAGTCTACGGATTCGTACAGCTTCACGTGTAAAACCAGTTTTCTCTCTTATGCACAGGTTTGTTACGACCACAGATGGTGCTGGAAGATTTGACTGACAAAAAGCAAAATTGACACGCGTAGCCCAACTTTTAACTAAAGGACATAATGTTTTAGTTTTGTCTGTTAACGTAAAAGCTAAAGTAAAATGTGTTAAACAAAATGTATACGTTAAGTTGAAAGCCACAGATAAGAACTCAGTTAAGATAAAATATCCGCACACTTTAAGCTCATTAGGCGTACAGACAGGGGTACTTTTAATTAACCTGATCCAAAGGATTGTTAAAAAAAACATCTGCGCTCCCTCAGCTGAGACTGTAAGCTGGATAAACCTCGGATCGGATATCTTAATATCAGTTGCCTTCAGCAAAGAATTAGAGCTGCTGACTTTACTCCTTGTTATTTTAACTTCCTATAGGAACGTCCTGCAGCCTGTCTACTAAAAAAAACATTTATAACCTCCGACAGAAGATCAGAAAAGATATAAACTACTGCAGTGAGTCACTTTCTGTGATAATGTCCTGGCTTAACGAGTAAAATCCTGTCAGACACCTACTAACAACAGAACATCACAGAAAAATCAACACCTGTAGTCTGTTTATTTGTGGGAAAAGGTTGACTGAAAAAGGAGAAGGTTGAGGATTTCTGAACTTGTGAGCAGGTGTAACTGTCAGGGAGGGTCACTGTTAACGGGCTCCTCTCCGGAGGGAAAGGACCTCTGTGTTCTTGTAACCCAAGACCGAGACGCCAACATTACACCCTTTGTTACAGAGGGGCGTGAATAACCCGCCGGGTGCCATGGCAACAGGGTTCTGCGCCACGAGAAGGGCGGGGGAATTGGACCGGAGCTTCACAGTCAAAAACAGGATGGGACTTGTGAGTTAGAGGAAGTCGCAGCTCATTGTTTCCCTTTAAAGGAGCACCAAGACTTGGATTTGCTCTGCTGCTGCAAACTTTTATATATTAGCAAGTAAAAAAACAAAACATGCAAATATGAAAATGTAAATAGTATCCCAGAGTTTTAGAGTATGATCGTCTCATGTAGTTAAATGTTCTGATTGAACCTCAAAAATAATATACAGGTATATATATATATATATATATATATCTGTTGATTGGGTTGTTGCTGACTCTCAGCTACTACCGTGCCAAATTGTACCTCAATATCTGTAAAACTGACTGACTTATAACATTTTTGTGTTGACTAATGTCAATAAGTTGTAGTCTCCATCTTGAATTGGATTAATCTGAACAGCTAATTAGTAGCAGGTGTGCATTCAATGATTATTTCCTGATGATTTTGTTTAAGTACATCCAGTTGTTCATGAGATATTTTGCTAACAGACAAATAGGATCTACTCTGAGACACCGACAGTTACTGCTATAGTTTTAAGCAAAACATTTTGCGC